TGTGCCACCCTCAAAGCCCACAGGTGTGTGGTTAACTGGGCTAACTGGGAACCTCAGCTGGTCACAGCTATCAGCAGATCCCAGCATCTCCCAGACACTGCAGCCTTTGTGCAACATCTCCAGCAGAGCCTGCCAGGCAGCAGTGCAGCTCTCCCACCTCCCCAGTTCCCAGTGCCACACACCACACACTGTGCCAGCAGCTGCAGTGCCCCATGGCCTCACCTGACACACCTCATGCCAGTGCTGCCTGCCTTGCTCCATCCACCCAGCCAGGCAGCCTCACACCACCTCGTGTGAGAAAACCCCCTCTGGGGCTGCACTTCTGAGCACAACCACCCCACTTTTCATTTCCAGTGCTGTCCTCTGCTCCACGTCCATACGGTGCCCGGCATCCCGAGGCCCTCATCTCCTCCAGAGCCCCTAGGGGCTGCTAGATTGCAAAAAATACACACCAAAGAACAGCTGGAGAGCACGCAAGCATTCCTCAAACCTATCCTTTGGCTTATGGCAAGCAGCTGAAAAACGCAGCAGCCTTCAAATAAAACTCTATGACTGGATATTGCAAGCACCACGAAGGTTTTATGGATGAGAATGGCCCCTCCCCTCAAAATATTTGTTTTCAATACCCACAAGTAGTATAATGTCATTTAGCGAGGAGAATTCTGGCAGTGGATGCACAGCCTGGCAGAGCTACAAGTCCTGTAGGTGTTATGATACACACACAACATGTTTTACAAATAGAAAGTGGTTTCCAGAGTTCTTTAATATATTCTAATTTCTCCCACCTCTGCCCAAAAAAGCTGCAGTTATGAAAATACTGTTGCATACTGAAATATTGAAGTCGAAATCTGAAGAGAGTTGTTTTTTTTTTAAAAGCTCTCTTTTCAGCTATTCCTTCTTCTCTTTTTTTTTTTTTTTAAGTCAGGTATGTTTTTAGCAACTTAAACAGGTTAGGTTACCCACAAGAAGTAGTAATTTTTCCACCTAGCAGATTGAGGTATTCATACTCTCTTCAAACATTTCTAAATTTATTCTCCAGTATTATTCAAATAGAAATATTTGCATGTACACCCTGAATCGGATAAAACCCTTTTAGTACCAACCCGTGGGTAGAAACCACACAAATGAAGAAGATCAACAAAATGCACCTTCTTTGAATCCAAAGAGCCTTTGGAAGAAACCCTTCCAGAAAATCCATCTTGTCTCAATTGGTTATTAATGTTATTTCTACATTTTGCAGGTTCACTCCTTAGCAAACCTAGTACCTGTACAACATGCAGCGAGATAAACCCCTCACATGAAGGACTTGCTGGCCAGCAGCCACATGGGTGAGCAGTTATTAGCCTAATTTACAGGTGGGACACCAAAGGAAGGAGAGAGCAAGTGAACTTCTCGAGGCCACCCGAGACACGTCAGGAGTGTTGTCTGGGAACACGGATGAATGGGCAGGTGTCTGATGGTGACAAAAATGTGTCCTCATCGTTTCATTGGTATTTTCTTAATCCAAATGAAGATGTTTCTAGTTTGTCTCGGATGATAATCTCTGGGAAGTGCACTGCTCTCAATTCACTCGCTTGGGATGGGGGATTAGCAACCAGGCAGTGAGTTCCCCTATAGGGAGAAGAGCAAGGTGGAGGAAAGCTGCAGCCTGCGATCGGGTTTGACAGGCTGTGCTACCCGAGGAACAGGAGAACTTCAGGGAGCAGGACCTGGAAACTGTTGGGGTTTCTCAGGTTTCGTGACCTGTTTATTCCCACACCCTGCTGTGTTCAGTCCACTACATCTGTTCTACAAAGAAGAGTAGGCTTTTCAATTGCAAGCACGGAACATCTCCCAGACATCTTTTAATTGCTACACATGAGGCAACCATGAGGCTCCGTGCAGGTTGTGATGAGGGAGAAGCTCTTACGCTGCTGAAGAGGGGATGAGATGATGCTGAGAACAGGGCTAGAGCAGTGTGGTACCTGTGCATCAGCTGCAGATCACGACCACAAGGTCTGTCTGTAGCCTGAGGGCAAACACGGAGAGAATAAGTTGGTGCAAATTGCATGAATTACCTAAATAATGCTTGTCAGAAAATTACATCCCCGCTGTGCCACCCGTTAGTCTGCAAGTAGCTCTAGAGACAGCAGAGGAATTAACACTGAAGGAAAACATTACTCAGCAAAAGGTGGGGCTGAATGATTGTGCCTGTAGCATTTCTCACCTGTTTGCAAATAGACTCCCACCTTTACAACTCTATTTATTGGGCCAGATCCTCTGAGGTGAACTCAACAGTGCTGATTTAGGCTGGCTCTGAATCCCTGATTTACAAGCATAGCTACTGCGGCCTGCAGTCCATCTTCAGTTGTTTGCTAAATTCCATAGCACGGCCTGCGGTATTCCCACCTCCTGCTGCTGCACAGGCGCCCCAAGGTCATGAATGGTGAGCCCAGCTTTGCAGAACCCATCAAGCCGTTTGTGAAAGGCTCTTTAACCTGGCTCTTCCCCTTCAAAATCTGACCTGGGAGACACAACCCTGTCCATCAGTCCAGTCTCCAGTGGAGGTGAGTCCCAACCCAGCAGACCATGTGCTTGAGTCCTGAGGGACTTAAGCATGTGCTTAAGTTCTCTGCTGGATCAGTGCCTTTGCAACCAGTCCGACTGCTTTGTTAGCAGTGCTGAGCACCAGGGCTGAGCTCCAACAGGAAATAGCAGCTTCCCTTTGAAGTCCTGCCACTGATGTTCACGTAGGTGGGACTTCAAAGAAGAGCCACCGCTTCCCCTCCCAGTATCGGAGGCCCCAGTGTTGGAGAAGCAGTACTGCTGGTTTTAATTGCATTAAGGGATGCTTTAGGGCGGACGATTCAGCCCTTCTCAGAAAAAGGACAACTTGAAAAGGTTCCCACCTGCTGGTAAGAGACCCAAGGAAAGGTGAACTGACACCCCAAAATACCCTTTGAAACAAAGGACTGTGGAAAGAAATCTCATTCCCTTCTGTTTTCCATAGAGCCACTGGAAACTACCTTGTGTACCTTGTGAGCATCTGGTTTACTCTGGAGCTGCACTCCTGGCCATCGTAAGGGCCCCTTGCCAACTGGGATGTGGATGAGGAATGGCCAACCTCAGCTCCCATAACAGAGATCACTGGAAAAACTGACTTCAACAAAAGCCACACTGAGCCAACATGAAGAAACACCCCCACAGGCAACCTACATGGCTGATTCTGCTGCTGACTGACAGTGCAATCACACACAGGAGCTCCTGTAATTTCTCTGTATCTCTTTTCCTTCAGGGAAAACAAAACAGAGAAGTCCACATCCTAAACGGTGTCAATAATCTCAACTGATATCAAAACATGGCTCCACCTTTTCTCTTCCTAGTCTTGCAGATTGCCAGGATCCATCTCTTCTCTCAGTCACCCAGAAGCAAGACCCAGTCAGATGGGAGAGAAGACCCCGAAGACCCCTGAATGCACTAGAGAAGCAGCCAGCCTGCCCAGGGAACGAGAGAAACAGTGCAGGGTTTACAGGGATTTGTGAAGCTCTTCCATGTTCATATTGCTTGTTTTTCTCTTCCCCGAATTCCCTTCATGTACCCAGATTCCACACATTTCTACATTCAAAAGCCAGCTGCCCAAGCAGGCATGGATTTTGAAGGAAGGTGAGCAGTTCTGTAATTATTCCAGGACTGAGTCCTCTGTGACCTCACTACACAGAGTTCAGCTGAGCTCTGCTGTTCTTGTCACTGACTTCCCATAAGCTGGCCTGGCCATCCCAGCTGGCCAGTCCATGGTTTGTACCTCCACACACAGCACTGGCACACTGCCTGCAGAACAAACCCGAGTCAGCAGGAAAGCAGAGTGTGCCAGTGGGGATTAATAAGAGCAGGAATCCTAACCCCAGTAAAACCAGCTAAGCAAAGATGTGCCCCAAAAATGCAGAGAGCTCTTGCTGCCAGACCCTGAGGGGTTGAGAGTAGCAGCAGTGCAGTGTGACAAGACTGGACTTGACCACTCAGATGATCCCAGCCCAAACCCTGATGTCTGATCTGGTGTGGAGAATGACCAAAAAGCTAAACTGAAACAATTTCTAGCTCAGGAATTAAAAATGAGTATGGAAGGTCCTTCATGTGTCTCTCAGTGGCCATGGCTTTGCTCAACCAGCTCAACAGCAGAACAACTTGCATAGAAACGCTTGAAAAAAGTTCTCTTTTTGTCAACAGAAAAGTGATTTTTTTCAAGACATTTCTCTTAGAGTTCTGAGTTTCTACCAAAAAAAGTGCCAATGTGCATTCTCAGGCAAAATTATGCAACTATTCCATATTCAGCAGTTTTCCACTAAAGATTCTTGGGATTTACGAGGCTGGGGCTATTTTTTTCTGAATATTTAATCAACATTTTCCACTGAAGGAGAAAAAATATTCTGGTCAAGTGTTGGTTTCTTTGCAAGGTTGAGAAGGGCAAGGGGGAGGAGGGGTCACTGTATTTTTCCTTAAAGACACAAACATTCTCTTATAACTGAAGCCACCACTGCACTTGTGAGCCCGACAAATTTAGAGGACTCAAAATCAATCAATAAAAAAAGAGCTTGACCACAAAGGAAATTCTGGTCAACCCTTCAGCTTTACATCATAGGCAACATTAATTTTATCACAGCCTTAAAGAATTAAAATAGAAAAATGCATCTTCTTGGAAAACAGCAGTTATTTTCTTCCCCTGCTCAGATATTTTTATAAGCCCGGTTCCACCAGCCTCACTCCTGTTGAGAATCATCTCACCCTGCAGGGCAGACCAGAGGTGAGATATTATGTCCCAAGCAGGACACTAAGATGCCTCCACCCAACAAAAACTCTACTGTGCAGCTGAGCTGGACCAGCCTAAATCCCGGGTCCAAGTCTGGTTTGAAGCATTACCCATCCTGTCTGGATACTGGCCTCTATAAACAAACAGGCCAGAAGGTTTGGAGAAGAGGTGAAGCCTTTCTCATTAGCTGTGAGCAAGGAAGGAAGTTGTAGCTTACCAAAGACTGCGGGAATTCTCAAGTCCCTCCTTCCCTTAATAGCAGTGCTGGAGGCGGAGAGGAGCCGGGCAGAGCCTCGCAGGGACGGTCCAGCAAAATGGTTGAGACAACCTGGGAAATGTAACACTGCACATGAGTAAGGGTGGCAGAACTCGCCTGACAGATACCTTTCTTGCTGGCTAATCAGAACCACAATTTATAGCTCTTTCCATTAAATCTTAGCTAAAGGACACAGCGGCACAGAGATCGCCCTGAGTCTCTGGCAAACATATGTCTGAAGCCTTATTTGCTCAGAGAATTGGTTCTGATAGGTCTGATAGGTCATTGTCGCCCCTCAACATGTTTTTTCCTGCTTTTTCAACGTCAGCTTCAGCAAAACTTCCACTGGTAAAAGGTTTCTCTGGCCCAGGAGAAATCTTCTGGTCAAAACACACATAAACAAACCTGGCCAGAGCAGCCAATGGTTTCAGCAGTCAGAAGATGCACTTCCGAAAGCCTGACACAGATTAGGGAGTTAAACTTGGATCTCCTAAATCCAAGAGGGACATCTTAACCCCCAGGCAAGAGGCCATTCTTGGATGTTGCTTTCCTGTGGGAGTCACTTCATACTGGCTGTAAGTCATAAAGTATTTGCTGGTAACAGCGAGCCCAGTTCTGCAGAACAGAGAACCAGAAGGAGCAGGAACGTGACGCTGGATCTCCCGAGCGCCAAGCGAGTGACTTGGCTGTCCAGCAGTTTATTGCAGTGATCAGGAAAAACAAACCCTTCACAGATCCCATGCCTGGATGGAAATGGAATGGAAAAAACTCGCAATCTCCCAACATCTTGTGCAACAGGAGAACCATTTCCTACCCGCTGTTACGGGGGGCAGATCTGCAGAGTTTATCACCTCTTGTCGCCAGAGTCAGGATCTGGCCTGCTGCCTTCCCCCTCATTCAGAATGCACTTTCATCTCTAGTATAAACACCCAGAAATATCAAAAGCCCTGTTGACAGTGCTGCTCTCATTTTCTGCTTTAAGAAGTTGCCAAAATGTACAAAATCAAGCTCCCCAAGTCACAGTGGGCTGTTTTGTCAGTTTATCCAATCGGTAACGTAATACTATCACAACCCCTATCATTCTCGCTCTTTTCTTTTTTTCTTCCCCCACCCCCCTCCTTTCTTTCTTACACAAGAATTTCCCCTGGAAGGGAACACAGTTCCACCAAAATCAAATCACAGCATCAAATTTCAAACCTGCAAATATCAATCAAATATGGTCCTGATGGAATATCACTGTCCACGTGCTGCACACGCATTGTCTGGGCCATGGGAGGTAGACTACGGATATTATTGTACTAAAGGAGCTTCTCTGGGAATTTTCTCTGAGATTGCAGGAGTCAGAAAGAGGAATGCCTTGCTGTCCCTTCCCTACTACCTCAAAGAGCACATTTGAGGACTGGCCCTGTATTTTTTCTTGTCTTCCTAGTTCCCTTCAAAACCAGTGGGAAAATCTGGGCCTCACAAAATATAGAATCGGGTTCTTTCTTATTTCATTAAGGAAAACAAGAGCAAAATGAGCAGCACCATTCAGCAAACAGCAACTCCGTGGAAAACTTCTAGGAAAACAGGAGCAATGCCAAAAGTTTCTGTAGCTCCGGAGTTCCTAAGCAGGGAAACACATCCCCACAGCAAGGCATGCGTGACATTTGCAAATGACCTTCGCTTGAAACCAAGGTGTAACACACACACATTACCTCGGCACATCATTCACTCTTAATCTATTAACGATATGACTCATTAACATATTAGTAGCAGTCGTGGTGTTAATAGGAGTAATACTGACACTACTGTCATCGTAGAGCTCGCAGGTTCCAACACGCCAGTTTTACAGGCATCCAACAGAAGGATTTGCGACCCAGCATCAGGAAGGTGGTGAGACAAGGTTTGATAACGCTACCGCAGTTGCTTCATGGGATGTGTGCTATTATCTCTTGTTATCTCCCCGAGGAATCACGGAGATCTAACTGAGCAATCATAAGGATTGTTCAGCGGTAAGATCCCTGATGGTATCTTTGCTGGACATGGGATGAAACCCTACAGAATGGTGGTTTTTTTCATATTCTTTAAATGTTTCTGTTAGTACTCAAACAGGTGTGAAATGCCTGCTGAGCTCTTGCAGAGATTTCTGCTTCTGCAGGGTGCAAGAACACTCTCACCTCAGGGAAAGGCTTTATGAAGTAATTTTGCAGAACTTGTCAAGAACTGCTGGGGAGGAAAAACACACAGCCTAAGAAATGCTGTTGCACATTCCTTTTTCTGCCCTTGATTTCCCTGCTTGGCAATCTCATCTGAAAGGACCTGAGGAATGACCCTGCTAGTCTGGGATTTCCAGAAGCACAGTTCCCCTGATGTTGAGGGAAGGTCCCCACATGTCTGAGCCCACCCATGAGGCTCAGCCAGCACTGCCACACAGCCAGAAACCCCCAGAGCCCAACAAAAGTGCTCTGACCCACCGCTCTTCCAGAGGAGTGTCAGACTCAGAATGGTTGTGTTCTGCAGAGGGAAGGTGTTTGCACAGGACAATTAACGTAATTGAATGGTTCCTGATGGTATAACACAGATCTGATCTACCAGAAGTGCAAACAGTGCTCACAAGATTTAGGGTGAAACTGAAGTTCAGGTTTCAAGTATCCTTAAAAATCTGACAGTCTAAGAATCCAGCTTTGGGGACTTGGCTCTAGAAAATTGATTATGAAGACTGGAGAATATCTCTGGCTTCACACACAGACCAAATCTGCAGACACAGGTCTGCCTCTGAGGCCATGGCACAGGGGAAATGAGCCATTCTGTGATACCCTGCCGTGTAACCCTAAGTCTGTGGATCTAAAATCCACACTGGAATGGAAGGTAAGACTAGGTAGGCTGGGACCCACAGCTGGGGTGGGAAATATCCACAGTAGCTTTATGTAAGAACAATAAAAAGCAAGCCTATAATTACCTTCACCATGCTGCGATGAAGTCTCTGCCATTAACATCTCATCTATACACAAAGGTAGAGCATCTTTGAGTGTATTAGAACAGGGAAAGCACTGCAGCTCTCTTTTGGGAAAGAAAAGTTCTATGGTACAAGTCACTTTGACACCAAAATCACTGCATTCAAATGAGGCCTTGTCCCATTATAACCAGCAGTAAAAAAAAAAAAACAGCTGTTGAGGTTTGTCTGATGACAGTGTTGTTCTCTCTTAACTCAAGGGAGCTCTCTGGCCCCAAGAGCAGACTGAGGTGGGACTCCAACCCCACAGCTAAGGCTGCCACAGCCCTGCCAAAGATGGCTGGGGCCATCTGAGGAATTGTCCATGTTTACCTTCCCAACTGGTTTATCTGGCTCCCACCTACTGGCTTTTCAGAGCCCCCAAACTATTATTATCGAGAAAATTGTATTAACTACTACATGCCCGAGTGAGTGAGTAGACAGGCTCAGCCACTGGGAGTGGGAAAAACAAATTCTCAAAGGCAGCTCTCTCCTCCTCCCTTTCCTCAGGCTTCCTTTTATTTTTAAAGACAGAATCAAAACCAGCCCAGATCGCCCCACTCCAGGCAGGAGAGACAAGGCACCAGGATCCTCCTTGCCTGTTTTTAGCCTTTTTCAGGGTTCCAACCAGGTGTCCCAGCTAACGGGGAGAATCCTGCTAGTCGTGCACTTGCTGGAACAGCCACAGCTCTCTGCCTTTCTGCTCCAAGCTAAACACCCCCCTGCAATCTCTGCTGGGGTGAAGTACAGCAAGTGACATCCCCTTCCTCAACATCCTGAAAAGAGGAAAAGCTCCCTGATGCCTCTCTCCCACTGTACTGTTGACTCTTGATAATCTGTCCTGTGCAGAGAATATATGAACAGTCAGTGTCTCAGCAGGGGAAATACACAACCAGGATCAGTGATCCAACAACTTCTCTGTGAGATCTGCAGAGGTGTGAACTTCACCTTTCCAGCACTTTTGTGAAGTCTCCACTGCTGAGCCGTGCTCCCCTTCAGAGGTGGGGACAGCCTTCCCAGCACTTCTGCTCTGTAGGAACATGGACTTTCTATCCAGACTGCCTTTATGGAGGCTTTGAGAGGAGAGCTCCTAAATTGAAACCACATTGCCCAGCCTGAGCCAGAGCCTGCTGCATGAGCCCTGTCTACTCCCCGAGTGTTTCCAGTGCTGATCGCTTCCCGGCGAGAGCACAGAACAGTAGGGCTTACAGCTCCCGGGAATCTGCCAGCATGGAAACTGTGCTGGACTAACAGCTCACAAACCTCCACCAGAGCTCTGGGACTGTCTTTCGTCTTTCCAGGGTCTTGGTGGGCTCAGAGTGGTCTGAACAGCTCTTTGTGCCTGGAGCTGCTACAAGAGAAACACCTTTCCTTTTTTTTTTTCCAGAAGAGAAGCTGTTGGGACGTGCTCAGCATCTCGCTCTGTTCCGATAACCCTTTCGGCATCCCTCCATTCTCTGGTTATTCATTTGTTACCCCTGAAATCTGATTCCTGATCTCAGCCCTCTCTTATCAACCCCTTTCACTGAGGAGTTCCAAAGTTAGTTTTAATCTTTGCGCTCTTTCTCTGTCCCCGAGGCCTTGTTTGCTGGGGGAAGAGGTGAGTGACAGGACTGACATTCTGGGGGGAAGGGGCTGCCCTCCATTAACTCGCTGTTATCTGTCTATTCATCTGCCCACAAAACAAAGGTGTGATTGTTGCTCCAGCTCACAGACCTGCGCTGGCTTCACTCCAGCTCCCATGGGTCAGAGGAGCAGAGGGGATACGGAAGCATGGCCTGAGCAAGCCCAGCAACCAGAGGGTAGCTGTGCTGAGGTCCATACAGCCACATCCTACCCGGCACCTCTGAGTGGGAATGATCCCATCCTAGTCACAGCCTGCCTCCCTTTGGATGTACAAACCTGCCCATGAAACACAGGTTGGATTCTGCACCACCCCAGCATCTGGCAAACCCATTCTGGGCTGTGCTCTTATAGCAATTATATAGGATATAGGGTGCTAGAACATGAGTTCCTTTATCTCTGTTTCCCACATTACACCCTCTCCTAAGGCAAATTGATGCAGCCCCATTGAAGCTGAGGCACTGATTGACACCAG